GAGTCCTGGAGAAGATGACCTGAATTACAGCAGCTCATGGGGCGGTACCCTCGGAGGGTCAGCCTCCAAGTACATAATTAGTGCCAGGCCTGAGAAAAAAAACACTGTTACTAAGTTAATGCAGCCAAGGGGAGAGGGGGGGAGCTTGGGAATTGGGTGGACAGGGCACAGAGGGTACATTTTCTTTCTTAATATAGAAGGAGCAGAGATGGAAGAAGCAGACTTTCCTCACCCACAGACAAGTCCTGGCGAAAATCAAGAGAAGCCACTGTAGAGATCAACTCAGAAGATCACTGCTGCTTTGGTAGAGCGGTAAGGCCTGAACAGTGCAGATAGCTTCCAAGGAAAAGCAATTTTTCTTTAAAAGGTGAAGAACAAAGGGTTTTTTCACCCCCCTCCCTTCTTTCCCCTCACCCTCTCTGCCCATGTAAAGTGTAAACACTCAACCACACACACAGAATTCTGGCTACCCTTTGTGCGGCTCAACATGCCAATTTTATGCTAATCTACACGGAAGAATATTATCTCCATAATGCAGTATAACATCTGTAAAAACGAAACAAAATACAGAATTAAAATAGATGGAAGATGAACATTAAAGGGACTTAGATCTACATTGTTAAGATTTACTGTAAAAATTCACATTTTATTCTAAAACTGTATATATAACAATGTGTCTGAAAACTTTTGTTATTCAGTTTTAAGGTCATGTTATACTGAACAGCCCTGTAGCTTGAGTTAGGCTCTGCTGTCACATCAAACTACACCTGGAAGGAAGCAGCAGATGCTGGATGGGGGAGAAAGAAGTGTGTAGCCTGGAGAGTTCAGAAACTACCTCCACTGAAGAGGAAAGAAAGGCAAGTTAGATGAAAGGGAGGGTGAAACATTAAAACACACCAATTTTGAAGAAAAGACTGGAGACAGACTTTGCTTGTAAACCAGGACACTAACAGCTGCCCTTATACTCCACCATAGTTAATGAAGACTTTCAAAATTGCCTTAGTAGTCAAAATAAGCATATCTCCACACAATATATATACACACATTCATATTTAGACAAAATATGTTGAATGATAAATCATGCTAAAATATCCCAAATCCTTTAAGCAGAAGTTAAATAATATTCTGTTTAAGAATACAAATTTAAGGTCAACAAGCCATTAAAATGACAGGCTTGAAAGCTGATAGCATAAAAATATTGAAGTTTATGAGGACATACAAGTTCCAGAAGAGAACTAGTTATATACAGTTCATTATAGTTTAACGTAGTTATGTGTTAAAATGTGACCGTGTTTAAAAAAATGGAGAACAAAACCATAAAGCACACACACTTATTGTGTCTGTACTAGTCCTGAAAACCTTGCAGCCTGTTATTCCTAACAAGTAACTTACAGGGCCTGCATCTACAGAGCATCTTGCACCCAATATTATGATGAAGTTATCAAAGGCCTTATCAGCACATGCAGACAAGTGCTATTTTCATGACTAACTCTGCAAAGGCAACTTTTCCTTTCTACTTCCTTGCTTTTCCCACCTGAACTCCTCCAACCTGATACACTCCCACACAGTTCCTCAAACTAACTCAAACTATTGAAATGGGAACCCACCATGAAGCTAAAAAGAAAAAAAAAAAAAAAAATCAAAGAAGAAAACACATTCAACCCACAGAAAACAAAATACAGTGGCAACCTACCACTTACACTGTAAGGGATTAGAAATTAAATGATGTTACCCAGTTCAAACAGCAAAGAGCATTACCAACAGGACCCGGTCTGATTAAAATTACAGAAAAGCTTCTTAAAATTTTGACCGAGAGCTGGATGGGTCCTTTGTCATTAAAAAGCGAAGCACTCTGAACTGAAGAAGCAGGTGGATGCTTAAGCCTACATATGTTTAAAATAAAGATGCCTCAATGTATTTCCTTTCAATCAGGAAATATGCTTATAGACATACATTTATCATGCATTCTGAACAGACCCCATACCATTGCTTTCCCCATGGAAAACTACCCATTTCTCCCTGCAGAAACCAGAAATGTGGGACTGCATGTCTGAACACTTCAGCAGTGACTGCTGCAATTAAGCCTTAAGCCTGTCCCATCATGAAAGAACATCAAAGGGCAAAAAGTACTCAGGGGTACAGTCTTTCTTTTGCGATCTTCCCTCACTGCAATCCCTCCCACAGGAATCTGGGAAGAAACCGTACCCTACTGCATAGAGAAAACAGTACGAAAGCCAAAGTCTGTTGCACTGTAAAGAAAATCAGCACCTGCCTCGAGCTACTTCACCATCTAGGACTTGTGATGATGCAAGACAGGCATCCCACAACCAAGGCCAGGATTGACATTCATATAGTGCTTCACTATGCACTTCTCATATCAGATTGTTTTGCCATTTTTGCCAACTTTCCGTACTGTGGATTCTGCTCAAAATGTCAGATGCTGTGCTGCACAATACTACTACACATATTCAGAACAAAAGCTTAGGGAAAAGTGGCTATTATCAAGTCACTAGGAAGAAGTACTTTTCCTAAAAGCTGCAGCTGTTTTGTCACCATAATGCCTTAACTGCAAACAAGTTTAATAACTCACGTTCCTGGTTTCCATGCGGTTTAAGAATGCATGTGTTTCAAATACCCAAGTGACATTGTAATAAATACTGTAGGAAATAGACAACAGAGAAATGCTGTGGAGCAGGAAATGGACCTACTGCATGATGAAGAGGCAGCAATGAGACTGCAAGCATCACAGTAAGTACTGTACAGCCTTGTACCTAAAAACAGGAATGACCCTGAGATCATTTCTTTGGACTTCAGGAGGGCTATCTTTGACCTCTTCAAGAAACTGCTTGGAGAAATCCCATGAGTGAGGGCTCTGGAAGGTAGGGAGGCTCAAGAGAACTGGTTGATATTCAAATACCACTTTCTCCAAGCTCAGGATTGGCACATCCTTAAGAGCAAGAAATCAGGCAAGTGAAGCAAGAGACCTGCATTGTTGAGTAGGGAGCTTCTGAAAAAGCAAGGCTTTTGACACAGTCTTCCACAGCATCCTCACAGGTAAACCTAGGAAGCATGGGCTAGATGAATGGACAGTGGATGGATTGAAAACTGGCTGAAAGACAGAGCTCAGAGGGTCATGATTAGTGGCACAGAGTCTAGTTAGAGGTCCATAATAGTGGCACAGAGTCTAGTTAGAGGTCCATAACAAGTGGTGTTCCTGAGGGATCAGTACTGGGTCCAGTCTTGTTCAATATATTCACCAATGACCTCGATCAAGGGATAGAATGTACCCATAGCAAGTTTGCTGATGACACAAAACTGGGAGGGGTGGCTGGCACACCAGAAGGCTGTGCTGCCATACAGCAAGATCTGGACAGGCTGGAGATTTGGGCAGAGAGGAACCTGATGAAATTCAACAAGGGCAACTGCAGGGTGTTGCACCTGGGGAGGAATAATCCCATGCATCAGTACAGATTAGGGGCTGACCTGCTGGAGAGCAGCTCTGAGGAAAAAGACCCCAAAGTCCTGGTGGACAACAGGATGACCATGAGCCAGCCATGTGCCCTTGTGGCCAAGAAGGCCAATGGCATCCTGGGGTGCATCGAGAAGAGTGTGGCAAGCATTTCGAAGGCAGGTAATCCTAACCCTCTCCTCTGCAAGCAGGTCGAGGGAGGTTATCTTCCTGCCCAATTCTGGGCTCCCTGGTTCAAGAAGGACAGGGAACTGCTGGAGAGGGTACAGCAGAGAGTTATGAAGATAATTAGGGGCCTAGAACATCTCTCTTACAAGGAAAGACTGAGGGACTTCGGTCTTTTTAGCCTGCGGAAGAGAAGACTGAGGGGGCATCTGATCAATGCTTATACTTAAAGGGTAGGTGTCAAGAGGATGAGGCCAGTCTTTCTTCAGTGGTGCCCAGTGACAGGACAAGATGTAACAGGCACAAACTTGAACATAAGAAGTTCCATCTAAACACGAGGAGGAACTTCTTTACCTTGAGGGTGGCAGAGCACTGGAACAGGCTGCCCAGAGAGGTGGTGGAGTCTCCATCTCTGGAGACATTCAAAACCTGCTGGGATGCCATCCTCTGCACCTGCTCTCGGTGATCCTGCTTTGGCAGGAGGTTTGGACTAGACAATCTCCAGAGGCCTCTTCCTATCCCTACCATTCTGCAATTCCGTGTGATTCTGTGACCTCCAGCAACATGAACTCTGACCCCTCAAATCTCCAACATCAAAGAATGCATAGGTTCTCACTTCACTTTATTACTCAGTAAACAAGAGAGATGGTTACAATCAAGCTGTTTTACAAGTCAAAACAGAACATGAATATGGTACATCACATCTTTCATTCTGAAGCATTCAGAGTTTTATTCCTTGACTACACTTTTGTGTACCAAACACTGATTCTTTAGATGCAGTTGTGGAGCAAAGTCAGTTGTTTTCCCCTCTGAAGTAAGGGAACTGGCTCAGTACATTTCCAGCGACCTTGTATATTCCTAGCCTTTATACCAGCTCTAAGCCTACCACACGATCTCACTCCTTCTCTTAGGTTAACTAAACAGATCACCTTGCATTAGAAAAGAAGCAGCTGGGGAAGAAACGGTGTATTTAAATATGCATGCAATTAAAAAGCATACACTGTACTTCATGGAAGATAATATTTCTCTATTTTAACAAAGAAGAAAGACACTAGGGTAGGGAAAGCGAAAAACATAAACAGTCATTTTTTCTAAATGAAAATATTCACAAAGAATTTTTATTAGTGGTGTTCTTATTTCTTAGGAGCAGAGATTGCAGTAGAGAGGAAAAAAACCAAACCCACAACTCCACATACTTGCTAAACTTCAAAAACTGTCCTAGTATGTGATACCTTACTATAAAATACATTAGTAGAAAGATTATTCAAAAGAAAATAGCTGGTTTTATCTTGCTGTTTTAGAAATGGAATACGAAAATATGAACACATTTATCAAGCTGAAGTAATGTAAAAATTTAAATACTTACTGCGTAGGAGCCTATGAGGAATGCAGCATTTGCTTGTTTTTTCTGATCAAAGCCAGTATAATGAATTATTTTCTTCCTTATCAATGAAAATGACTGCATCAAGAAATGAGTAAGATTATGATTTTGCATTTTAGACTTTTCATGCCTTCTTTTATAAAATTAGACGAATGAAAGGGAGTGTTCACCTACTGTCAGCCATCACTTCAGAAGTCCAAGTATACTGTAGACTAGTCCTTCAAAAGCTTTGGAAGACTGTATCGCACCTCTACCCAGATTGTTCCAGTATTCTTCCCAGTATCCAGTGTAAATAATCTTTGATACACATTACAGTAATCTTTCTCTCCTTGAATGCATTTGCTATTTCTGACTTTGAGCCCTATGTAATAGGTAGGTGTTTATGGGAAGTAAATACACAGTGGCATTCTCAAACACATCACAGGTATGTTAAAGTTGCCAATGGTTTTGAAAACACAATTTAGACTTTTTTATTCTTCAAGAATAAAAGACTGGCTCTAGATAAATAAACTAGCAGTTGTTTCTAAGGATCAGAACCACTGGAAAATACATGCTTAGATTAAAATATTTTGAAAGTATTTCTAAGCTTCATCACAAATAAATTTTTAAAATTTTATCTGGGCTTGGCATATGGTTTCTAAATTATCTCAGAAAGGGGGTGGAATGGCATTGCCAATAGGAAGGACACCTATATCTGTGAGAGCAGCAAAAACTATCCCCTGACTGGCCCTTGAAACAAATTTTGATGCTCTTGAAACTGTATACTCTGATCAACTGCTAAGCAATCATAAAATGTCACTATTTAAATAGCAATGTTACTTGCTCAGATACTATTCAATGCACTCAAGAGAAATAAACCACAGATCCCTAGCAGTAGTATGTTCTCAGCAATCCTAACATGCTTCTCCAATACCAAACCCAATATTCAAAGGGATTAAAATATAAACTTGTCTCACTTCAGAACATCCTGTAAGCAAAAACCAGAGAATCTGGTCTCCAGCAAACCTCTTCACAGTGCCACAAGGACAAAGCAAGTCTGAATTATGTAAACTAACATCAGTGACAGTCATCAAGGCATTAAAAAAAAAATCAAATCTCTGCTATAAAAAAAATATAATGTTCTGCATACTTCCCAGCTTTCACAGTTCACTGGCAGTTTCAAGATCTAAGTAGTTTTGAAGAGGCAAACTGCGATTCACATTAACTCTAATAAGCTTTTTTATCTGCCTAATAGGTTTTACACTCTAACATCTGTTAGAGGTCAACTAATTTGAAGTCATTCATGTTAATTAATATAGGAACTCTCTATTTTAAAGACACTACGCTCTATCAAGAGCCCAACCCCGAAATTTACTGAGCACCTTTCAGACAAGATAATCTGCAGTAAGAGCACGGCAGTCTCCTTCAGGACTATGGCATAAATGCTATCAAAGATCAAGTGTTGCTTCTTACAAAAGAGATGTCAGGACCAGAAGAGAAGCCCAAGTCAATAAAAACCATCTACAATAAAAACGTGTTTCATTGCATCCGCAAGCTCACTTAATGCTGGCAGACTGCCAAGAAGACTGAATTCAAGGAGGGCAGCTTTTCATTTAAAGAAGTCTGTACCCACTTAGCAACTCATCTTTTAGGAGCTTAACATTACTTACTGCCGCAGTGGTGCATCTTCTGGGTCTTAGAAGTAAGTGGGTTTTCCCTCCTGATGCTCCTCCTCCCTAAATTCACCTTGATAAAATTTAGCACTTATATTCAAAACTTAGCTGGATTAGGAACACAGGAAAGCACCTAACAAAAAACTTTTGGCCCATTTGTTTTTGCTCTCTAAAAAGCCAATAATATTGAATAAAAAAAATCCAAGTGTTACCTTTAATTTCTTATTTAGCTTGCAGCAGTATCTGTAGACCATTGCCAGATTGAGTGGTCCAAAGTCTGCATAGAAGCTGGTAGGAGAAAGGGGGAAAAGCATACATCATGTCTGTAAATGCCTCCTTTTTTTTTCTTTCTTTTAAATTGAATGGACAAAGTAAGGAGTAATAATATATATGTGATTTATGCACATAATTCTAAATCTTTAATGCCTTCTTACATACATACTACTTTGTTGGAGGAAACAGTTCTGTCATCTTTAGGCAGGGAATAAAACTTTTTTTTCCCCAGAGACCACCACTCAAAATCAAACTGGAATACTCGAGGTTTGAAAAATTCTCACTACTGTATCACCCTGTGACACCAGTTTAGGAACTCTATTTTACGAGCAACCCAAAAGCTTTACTTTAAAGGAATGCAATTAACATCGCTAGAGAGAAGTGAACATAGAGAATAAAGATTGATTCGTACTTTAAAAAAACAGTAAGCACACCCTTGGTCAAAAATATTTAAAGAATTACAAAGACATACAAAGGCATACACTGTTCACTACAGGGGAAATAATACAACCATTGCCAGCTCATAAAGGCTTGAATTGATTTTGCCATTTTTTTCTCTTATTCTAGGAAGTTAAGACATTCCATTTAATACTTGAGCAACCAAAGACAACTTGGCAGCCCAGTGCATACTTCTGGATATATATTGTTGCGTCATGTCTTCTGACAAGAATGGATACAAAGAAAGATTCTGCTTTGAAAATATTTTTCAGAAATCCTGATGGGAAGCCAAGAAGCCATTCTAAGACATATAAATCATCATGGCAGTCTGAGAGGACTAAGTCATGTAATTAGTTCTATAATGGAAATGGTATGTTTCCCTCAGCTACATCTGAAAACAGAATGTCAATTAAACTGGTTCCTCACTGCTGTTCTTCTGACTAATTTATTTCTTTAAAAACTCGGAAAAAATAAGTCTGTACTTACTTCTCATATACAAGTTCATCATCTATGCAGAAATAATGGCTATTTGCAGCTCCACTCTTTGGTTTTTGGCAGAGAATTGCAAAATAAAGGCGATCTGAAATGTAAGAAAATTTAAAGCTTTTATAAACATCACACTTTTCTGCTGAAAATCTGAAGCACTACCTGTCAACAGCACAACTTTAAATGGTTTAAAATGAACCAAGTCTTCTTTTAAGTATTACCAAACTAGATATTATTATTTCTCCAGTGCTAAGCAACAAGGCACACAAAGATTGAGGTTTTTTGCTCAGCAGTGTTCCTGTAATCCCAAACAAAGTGTTCCAGGAAAGCTACCTGTTTGATGACTTTGCAATATGGCAGAAGCCTGACTTGCATCCACACAAAGAGCAGACACCCACCTCCTTTTGGCAACAGACCCCACCTGTTGCACTCCAAACACCAACATACACACCGGCCCCCACCAACCAACCCACGAGTCCCTCACCGCGTCATAGCACCTACGTTAAATTAAACGGCCAAGCGCCAAAACACAAGCACTTTCCATCTTTACGTAAAACGATTATTTTGACAGTAGTGGCATGTGATTACAGCCTGCAGGCTACAGATGCCAGGGGGATGTGAGGGGGCGAGGAGGCAGCCGACTGCTGCCCACTGGAGCACCAGCAGAGCTACCAGCTGGACATCCCCACCCATATCCCTATCCCGGCCACCCCTCAAAGCCTGTCTGCAGGCAGGCAGGAGGCACCCTGCACTTCTCCCGGATTCCTTTGTTAAGCTGAGTGGGAAAAAAAATGCCAGTGGTATCCACAGAGATATAAATTATTTTTATGGCCAGGGGAGCCCCGGTGAACTTTAAACACTGACTGTGCTGCTGCTGTAAATTGCTCTGCTTGTCAATAAATTGGTCAATAAAAATTGAGGCCTTGCAGCACCACAGCAAGACTTTTCTTTACCTTGCTGAAAAAATATCATTATAAAATACATGGATTAAAATTCAAACCTAAAAGAAATTATTTTAATTTTTGCAAACTAGTTGCCTGGAACAGATATACTACTTAAATAGCAAAAGAGATCACCTGAATATAAATGTACAGTTTCAAGGTATAATTTCTGATAAAGAAAAAGTGTATTTTTTTTCCAGAAAGTAGGAAAAAAAAATCACTTCATGCTTCAAAGCAAAATCCTCCATGACTAGCACTTAGAAATCATTACTTGTATCTTGAAAATACAAGGTAAAGGAGTATTGAAAGGAGTCTCCACATCTATATTTCAACACTCCCATACTCAGCTCTCACCTATGTACAGCAATCTCAAGGGGTGGAGGCAGATAACAGCACCAAAAAGTGTACATTTGCTAAATGCACATTTCAGTAGAGCAGCAGTCTGATGTGAATTGTTTGGCTTAAACATTTACAGGTCAGATGCAACCAGTGCGATGTACAGTAACTCCTGAACAAGTCAGGCATCTACTTCCCTACCCTCTCAGCAGAAGCAAGGCACTCAACTTGCTTATTCAGTTTCTAATAGTCCCATCTTGTAGGCACAGCAGCTGCAGTACTAGCTGGGAAGTGCATTAACTACTTAGGAACTTTTGTACGTCCCAGCATTTACCAAGGCATGTCCTGGAAATTAACCAAAGGATAAAATTTAGAGTAGCGCTGTGCATTTTTAAGAAGTGACTAAACTGAGGGAAATACGAGTGGAGAAGCAAGTGCACTGATACCCAAACTGGATGCAACATACACTATGGGGAAAACTGCTTCAGAGAAAAGCAGTCTCAGGAAAACATTAAGACCAACATTTTGGGGGTAGCAGGAGCCCCAGCTTCCCATAGCTCCCGTGCATCCATCCCCACCACTGTGTTACTCCCTGTGCTGTGTCAACAGGAATTACAGAAACTGTAATAGATGTCCTAGCACAGTACAAAAAAAAAAAGAAAAAAAAAACCAAAAACGCTGTTTTGCTGATTTATTTCCCTCCACCCTGAGAATGAGAGCTAACATGGTGGGAGCAGGATCAATGGCAAAGGAGGAAGCAGAAAGGAGAGCTGAGAGGATATGATATCTAGGGATTGCATTTAAACTGGCATTGCTAGATTAAACATGTCACACTATAGCCCCAAGCTATACCACACCACTTCTAACCCGATTTAATGACAAGCTGCCACCAGGTCTCGCACAAGGAAAAGTTTTCTGCAGTTAGTTCACTCAACCAGCCCACTGGGGATTGACAGTGGGAATACATAGCCAGAATGGGTGGCAATCTGTCCTTCAGATCCAGTCTAATTATTGACTTAGATGGAGATCTCCATGTACACAAACAACATCCTCATCCAAATCTGGGCAGAATGGCCATAGTACTCAAACTGACACCCTACCTTCCTTGCACACTAGTTCCTTCATATAAACTTTACATCACTTTTGAAAATAGAAAAGCACTACACAAAGAGTAATCCAAAATCCTCAAAGACAACACGAGGATCAAAATGAGAAGAAATACATTTGCACAGGTCAAAGGCCTAGAACAATTTGCATGTTGCTCCTGGACAGGATTTGAGTAACAGAATCACTTGCTTCCTCAGCATTCCTACTTTTACTGAAAATCTTTGCAGCTTTTTCAGCAACAGTGTGTTCTAGGCCTTTTGAATTGCTGTTGGCATTCAATTCAGTGCTGGTATCTCTGGACTGCGTTAATTGCTGCTGTTCAGTGTTTACCTGAAAGAAACTTGAGTTTAAAGAATTTACAGAACTACCACACAGGAACAGCAGTGCGTGACAAATGCCAATATCCTGACAAGCTGTCCTTTCCTGAGCACGGCTAACAATTACTCCCTCATTATGTAAACAGCAGGCTCCATCCTTTTAACATGTTTCCTATAGAGAGATTTAAGAGAGGAGCTACACAGAAAAGTCCTTTCCCATAAGTGTGTTTACCTTTCCACTGGCTTACCAGTCCGGTATCAGACAAATGCTGCATTACTTACCATGTCTGGTTTTACCTGTATTTTTGCAAACTCATTCCCAGTTTTATTTACAGTAGCCAAGGATCAGTGTGTTGAGTTTTGAATAGAAGTAACACACACCGAGAAAGGAGAATTCCTTCGTTAAGGATCTGATTGCAGCATGCACGTTTATACAGAAAATACACCAGAGCACTGATTAATTGATTTCATTAGGACTCCACAAAAGTTTGGACTGCAGGAGCAAGGCTTCCATTTTATTATTTTTATTCTTCCTTCGCTAATTTTAGCTTTTTAGTACTTCATTAACATATAGTGTGCTTGAGCACTTCCAGATTCCTGCAAATTTCTGATAAAAGGTCATCCTAAAACTATCAAACTAAGCAGACCTTTCTAATCATTTCTCAGAAGAATGAGAGCGTAGGGCTCGCTGCCTTACAGACTGCTTCTGCACTGCAAATTAGGAGATATGACTGCAGTATGTTAGATATATTTCAATTACAGTTAATTTTGTTAGCCTCAAACAACAAAAGTTAAAATACAGAAACATGGACGTCACTGCAGGTAATTAATTTGAGTAAGCATCCAATATACAACAAAATGAGCCTCCGTACCCATAACCAAGGACTGTGTTACCACAGCTTTGCTAGAGCTGGTACACGAACTAATGAGATTAAAGCTAGCACAAGCGTGTCTGCACAAGCTGTAATAATCATGCATCTGATTGCAGCGTGCATACAGGAGGAAAAGCATTTTGCTTGAATTTCTAATCGACAATGTACCGTGGCAATAGACATGTAAAAAACTGAGGGATACCACTTCAAAATCATGTTAATGTGAATTAACATAGAAAACTAAATAATATCCTTCCCTCTACTCTCAATACGCCTGATGATTCTCACGATCTGCTGCACAGGCCTTGGAGAAAGACATTTTAGCAATTCAAGGGACAACTAAATACCAAACAGGCACTTGCTGTGAGACAAATCTGCATATGCTCAGTGAAGATTATTTAATAAAAAAAGATAAATTCTACAGTTCTATTGTTAAACAGATGCCTTAAATGAGAAATTCAGGTAAGACTGACAGTACAAAAACCACCATGTTAGACTGTTTTGAATCACCAGGAATGTAACCAGAGAGTTATTTACTATCGTAAGAGGAGAATATTTCTAAATTCATAGTTGTTACATGGTATTTTGTTGCATTTGATTTAAAAGACTCCAAAATATCAGGAAGACACACGAGAAAACATAAAAGGCAAATTCTGTTGCAATGTCAAGACAAAAAGCAAAATTGTCTGAGATTTTCTTTTTAGTTGTTCTATCCTTGAAATGAGTCATTCACTTATCATTATGATATTTCAAATATAAATGATGATAGAGATAGCAATTGGAACAACAGCCTGGCCTCTGCAAAAAAAACCAAAAAGCACACTAAAAAGCTAAAGGAAGTTTTTATTTAACAGAAAACCACGAAAAAAAATATATTTTCAGGGCCATGTCATCATTTTACTCAAATACCAGTCTTTGCACTCTGTCGCTCTTGTCTGATACACAAGACGACTTCATAAATGTGGATGTACTTTCAGTGCTGGATGAGAAACTAAAAGCTTTTAACTCAGATTTAAAATATTAACTTCCAGAAAGACTCACAAGTAAGTGAGGTCATGTTGATAAAAGAGTAAATACAACTTTTGTACCGATATAGTTTTACAATGAAAACTAATTGAAAGTATTATTGGAATGTTTGAAAGCCAAATGACACTCATTAGAAGTGTCCTTAGCATTAAACAGTTTTTTACATAATACACAAGGTGTAGAATGACAAGCCAGCAATATCAGAAAAACAAGTCTATGGTTTGGGGAAAAAAACAAATCAAACATAAAACCAAAAAACCAACCCACCTATCAAGGAACCTATAAACTGAATGCTATTTCATAAAAACTCCAAGCAACAGTGTAAGTAAAACAGTTCTCAATAAGGGAAAAAAAGGCCATACAGTACAACTTAGAGCACCCTTTAAGATGTTGTTTCTCACTGTAAACAAACTGGATATACATTTAGCAGGAGGACACACAAATGTCAAGGAATACCCCAAGGTGTTAGATCACTTCAAATTTAACCCCATGTACAGTTATTGTAGTTACTTAATTTGAGAATTAACTACTGAAAAGAAGTGAGAGCGAAACACACACCTTTTAGCTGAGGTTTATTAAAATTTGCATTATAATTCCACATCTTCTTTAAGATATTATTTATAAAATCAGAGCAATGACAAAGAAAAGCATCCAAAGAAAGGAAATCAACAGCTTTCAAGCACCTCACACAGAATTGTTAAGTTCTCTCTAGATCATACAAATTAATTCTTTCAGAGATTAAAAGGATATGGGAATATGCTTCTAATAAAGAGAAAAAAATGCATTCAGTTCCATCAAACTGAATTCATACCAGCTAGCCTCACACATTAGTTGACAGAAAATAGTAAGGTTTACCATGCAGCTTAACAGACCAAAACAATTTTTTACAAGAATAGCCTTCCTGAACTAGTCTTAACAGTAAAAAAAAATATTTAGATTATCATGATTAAAACTTATTCTGACATATGGCTGATGCATACGACTCATTAGGAAATAAAGAAATGGGATAATTACTGTGTGTATTGTGAGTATAAAATCTATGCAAATAATGGATTGCAAACTTTGCTATTTATGAATATAAGGTCATGCAAGAAAAGATTCATAGATCTTTAGAACTATTTAGGTTTGTTTTCTGCCTCTGTCTTACAGCAAAGATGAAAACTAGGGTAGCCTGCAATGTTCATGAGTTTGGCACTGTTTCTGTAAGCAGGTAAGCTAACGCAAATCTTTCAGCCTTTACAGAGGCTAAAATATTTACCAGTATGTCCATTTGCAAGAATAAGGCCTTATGCTTTAATCTACCTCTAGTCCAGAACTACTAATTCATTTCTCAGAACTGCATTAGAGAAAGCATTAGTGACAGTTCAAAATTTGAAATAACTTTAAAAATAGACAAATAAAAAGTTAAGCCTGTGGGCTTATTATTTTAAGGTTTCTCTTTAAAAAATATGCATGACATACCAGCGCAATAAAAAATAGACTATAATTGTTCCATTATTAGAACAGCAGCCACCGTGCGCAGTAAGAAGATCCAGACAAAATGAAATATTATTAAATATAATAATCTATTGCGTTTTAATCAAGTTTGTTACACTGTGTACTGCTGAATATGGTGAAATCCCTCTGAAAAAACACAAGACAAAGCCTCAGTGCTCAACTGTTATTACTTAAGTGGAGGAACATTTCTTTGCAGGAGAAAATACAGTAATTTAAGGGGCCTATTGATGCCAGATGTGTATCATCAGATCCAAGAAACTGCTGTGTGAGAATGGTTAGACAGACCTGTTTGCTGGAGGTCTGAGCTGGACTGGGCTGCACAATGTTCTAGATAATGACATTACTTTGATATCAAAAAGTCATCACCTGCGAAATAAGGGGTTTCTACATTTAACCTTAAAATTACACCATCATCATTTCCTATATAAATGGTTGCAGTTGTAGAAAAATACACATAAGGAGTTATTGTAGCATTACAGTTCTGCGCGTAAGCACACCAGTGTGTTTCTCTGTGTAGATTAGGCCTAAAATGTTTTATTTTAGGCTGGAGTATTTAAGATTAGATTTCCCTGACAGTACTAGAGCTTTTTAAAAAGAGGAATCCGGTATGCTTTGGGAGTTTACATTCTTTCTACATCGCTATGCCTAATTTTTAAAACAAAATCTTACAGTTTTCTAAACATATTGTTGTCTAGGAGACACACCAGTTAATTTAAGGATCCCCGTTTCTTAGCACAGGTAAGACTGGTGCCTTTTGTTCATGCTTGCTCTTCACATTTTTGCTTGCTCTATCTACAGAAAATTTTCCATGTCCTTCACAAACAAGTGGCAAGTGTGGTTTATTTATTGTTTTTTTTAAGAGAAGTTGTAAATACTACCACTCTCTGATTCTGAATCAGGACATAAGAAGTAAAGTTTGGGGCGGTTTGTTGTTCATTTGGGTGTTGTTTTTTTTTCCTACTGAAACCTAAACCCAGAATTATTCCAGCGGCACTCGAGTGTCGAGGAGAGGTGCGACACTCGCCCTTTATTTTACCCAGCAAGCACAGCACGGGGGGAAAGATCTACACCCCTAATACAAAGAAATCTGGTATTTCTGTTCCCCCACAGAAGCACATTTTTCCCTAGTTCAAACACATTTTCCCTTTACCCTCTTTACGAGCAGAAACAGTCAGCACAGGGCACGGCCGGAGTTACTAACAACTCCCCCGTTCGCTTTTTGGGCCGGACACGCGTTTCTAAAGAACACTTCGCTGTGACAACGCAACAGGGACGGAACGACCGACCCACGGCACAGACGGACGCCCCGGCGGGGACAGCGGACACCCCGCGCTGAGGGGAAGCTGCCGTCCCCTGTGACGGGACCCCCCCGCCACGCTGAGGGGAAGGTGCCATCCCCTGTGACGGGACACCCCCACCACCCCAACTCCGTCCCGCCGCCGGCGGCCCGGCCCCGAGCTGCGCCCCAACTCTCCCGCCGCGCTGCCATCCACCCCGCACGCCCCCCGGCACGCCCCTCACCGGCGATCCTCAGGCAGGTCTCCAGCCCGGCGGGAGGAGGAGGAGGAGGAGGCGGCGGTTCCTGCTGCTGCTGCCGCCGCCGCTCTGCCTCGCCCCCCGCCGCTCGCGACGCCGCGCCCCGAGTTCTCTTCAGAGCCGGCGGAGCCGCCGGTGCGCGGCGCCGGGCCTCGGCCCAGCTCTTCCGCTTCATGGCGGAGGCAGCCGCGCCGCTACGGCGGGTGCGAGGCGGAGTGGCACATCGCCGTGGCGCCGCTCCCGCGGGGTTCGGGCCGCCGGAGGGGAGGGATCCCGCGACGGCGACAGCGGCGGCGGCTGACGCGTGTCCTCGGACGCCGCCCCCTCCCTCCCGCCTCATGCACCTACGCCCCCTCTCCCCGCCCCGAGCTCTGGGGGCGGCAGCTCTCGGCTCCCCCGCCTCCCCCTCCTGCGCCGCCTCTGATTGGGGCAGCGTGGTGTGGCGTCACCGGCGCGGAGCGGCGCGGGCGGTGATGTCATAGTGGCGGTTGTAACAGGTGGGTCCGGGGAGCCGTCGGGCGGCCGTCGGACGGCGGGGCTCGCTGTGGGGTAAAGCCGCCGCCCTTGCAAATGAGCATTTTCGGCTGCGTTTCTTGCGGGGGTCACGGCTTTCCAGGTTCCCCCTGCGGCACGTGGGCCCCGAGGGGACGTGACGTCGTGTGAGGCTGGCTGGAAGCTGTCTGGTACGTGCAGCAGGCTTTCGGTGCGCACGTTAAATGGATTTATCTGCCGAGTTAAAAGAGCTGGGTTTGAGCCTGCTGCTCAGACACAGCGCTGCTTTAAAACATACCTTTATTTTAAGTAGGTGTTGAAATAGATCGAGCTGGTAGTTGACTTCTGAAAACCACTCCCTGCTCACCTCTGTCTAATTGGCTGTGACAAGTGTTCTACCATCTACTGAGTACGAGGTCAGGGGTACCCTCCTGCTGGTTTCCACCTTTTACTGCATAACTTTATAAAAATACTCTTTCTAAGTAATAGCAGAGATGTAAAATTCTAACTGACACTTCAACAAACGTTTACGCCAGGGAAGGCCGTGGCCATCGTTGTTCCAGTTCACGACACACATGGGAATCATTGTCTCACAGGGCACTGGGTGAAGCTGTGGCCAGGTGCCACAATCCATCTGCACGCAATAAATGCAGGGCAGATGCCCTAATTAGGATTGTTCTTCTGCTGAATCCTCCTGTCTTCCCTCTTTTTGTTTGTCTGCATTTTGCACATCCTTCTGAAGAAGTGGTTTTGCTGGGGTAACGCAGAGGCCGTGGTCTGGTTCCTGACAGGATTGACATGGTGAGGGTGGATGACTTCAATTTACAGAGCTGTCAAACTACAACTTAATTCATTCCAATCCCTTTTAAGAGTCCACAGTTCCTTTTACCTATGGCTAGGTATTTATTTAAATGCAGCAGTAGAACTATTCCTGCTGTATTTCAATTCTACTGAAAGCAAAACAAGCAGAAAAAGAGGTAGCCAAACACTTGCTTTAAAATCAAAAGCACCAAGAACGAAAGTGAGATGATTGCAAACCAGAAGTGGAACTAGAGCCAGTGTAGAGCCTTGGCAGTAATGATCGGGTGAATGAAGCAGAGTGGAAGCACTGCAAATAAACTGAATATTTAACATTCTTTCTCTTTGAAAATAATTTTTGTGCATTTCTTGTCTTTGTTTTCTAAACATAAGACCTCATTTATAGCTTGCTTTCTGCTGTGGTTTAAGTCACATTGAGGCAGCTGCCTTACAGAGTTTCTGACAGGCTCAAAAATACTGGTGAGCTGGCGGAGCCTGGAGGGAAGGCAACTCCTTATTTAGGAATGTAGGGACAGTGGCCATGAAAAGTGGACTTTACTCCCCAGCTGCTGGTCCCAGCCCATTTTGCCAAGTTCTGAGGAAGCCTCTGGCAAGCCCTGAAATCACGTGTATTCTGATTCTGCATGTGACTACTTTTAGCCCTGTGTTGAGTGCTGGTTAGTCACCACACAGAACCGAACAAAGCATTTTTACATTAGTAATATCCTCCTGTAAACACACGGTATCAAAATATGTATGTAATTAATAAGGTGCTAGAGCATAGAACCTTTAATGGAATGACATTGCTCAGTATCACTGTTTCTTAAGCCTTTCATTTTTTGTCAAGGAACACTGCATTTATTGCACATGCTCTTAACGGTGTAGAGCTTTCCGGAGCTTGCTCTGGGCCTGCCAGTGACCTTAGTGGACACAGGGACAAACCTATTCAGAGAGTACTGTTTTACAATTATATTAGCGTTTAGGTTTAACAGGAGAGAGAATTTGCAGATAAGATATGTATGAACAGTAGCATTTTACAGGCAGGGCTAAAGATCAGAAACTGCAGAGGAGAATATGCTCCTCCATAAATCTCGGACAATCTTATTTTGCAATTGCTAAAAAGAAGTGGCTCGTGGGTGAAAGAAGGCAGATCTACTTTAATGAAAGCAATAGATTCTAAACGTAAATATTTCTAGAAAAATGGATAATATGCAGGCTGACAGAACTGCAAACCGTAATACTGTTGTCCGTAGCTCAGTTGTCTAGGACAGAAATAACTAAGGACATTTTTTCAGGGACCTCTTGCTTTGAGAGAAAGTACATACACACAGAGGAGAATATTCTGCTGCAAATCTTTATAGAAAAACAAGTAATTGACTATGATGTACTCCAAGTGTACTCCAAAACTGACAATCTGATCAGAAATGTGTTTAAGACACACCCCTCACTGGACTGGTCTTAGACCCACCTTCTCATATGATGCAAAAGAATTGCAGACAATGGATGACGCATTTGAAATGTTTATTTAAAACTCTAAAACGCATTTCATAATGTCTGCCAGCTCCAGATGCAAAAGTAGACATAAGCTTCGGTCCCAGTGTTCGAAGCCGTCATTTTTCAAGGTATATTTTAATACAAGATCGCCACACAGTGCTGGAAGCTTTAAAACATTGCTGGGAAATATTGGATTGAAAGCTGGTGTCATCTACTGAAGGCACGAATCTCAAGTTCCTCCTGAGCAGAACCAGATTTTTCAGTTCAGTATGTCTTGAACACCGGCTTTTAGAATATATCAGCAAGGTTGTTTGATGAGGAAATAATGAGCTACGGGATTTTTTGCAATAAGCCTCAACTGTGTTTTAGTTATTGTTATCTTACACACAATGGAAATGGCATTTTCGTGCCCATCTTCTGTGCCAAGTAGATTATTCTGTGCTCTCATTTTCTAGATGGGGTTTCACATGTCCCATTAAGACATGACAGTACTGATGCTGGTGGGAATTCGCTGGAGAATTGTCCTTGTAGAGTACAAATTTAAAAAATTATATACTGTGTGAGTGTCATATGTCAATAATCTGGGGTTTGTGGGTGAAGTTTACTGTTTTAACTCCTGCCAGCTGCAAAACTGTGTTAATGGGAACGTGATCCAGCCTGTTTTTATCAAGGTGCAAAAAATGAACTTCATTACCTGAAATGTAATGAGAATAAACATGTAAATGGCTGAATAAAACATTTACTTATTCAAAGACATAACTGAATCAAAGAAGCATCCTATTTTACTAATAGTTCTTCTACAAATGTGTACTAGTTCTATACATTGTACAATACACTGTATTTTAAACAATGACATAGATTATTTTTTTTAATTACATTATAAGGGCAAGGAACATTGAGGCATCTAATTGAATTAAATCTGATGTAGCATAATGTTTCCTAATGATTTGATGACTTTGTCGTGTTACAACATCATGCATTATTCCTCTACTAAAACCGCATTAAATGGCTAGAATCAAATGTGAAAACAGAATGCAGGTGAACACCATGATGTCAAGAAACCCCTCCAAGCTTTGAGCAGTTGTTCTATCTACACTCCTATGGATTTCTGGAGGACTGCGATCAGCTTTGTGCCACCTCTGTGGGAAGTGGGACTACACAATGGCACTTCCACAGGTTCCTTCAGCCAGCAAAATCACACCATTCCACACAAGACTGTTTCCTTGCGATCCACAGGGGCAGCAGCGGAGATTTTTGCATTAAAGCGAGATGTTTGCGTCAAACCAAACAGCATCCGGCAAAGACTCTAACTTTCAAACAAAACAAAGAAGATCACCTGGGCCCAAAATCAAAGCTCCTCCCTGCTGAGCAGGGTCTCCTTGAAAGTCAAAAGCTGGGCCAGTCATTGCTCTCCACACGCTCCTAATGCTTCCCAGGAGTGCATTTGATTTCACGTGAGGGCTTTGCACTAAACAAAACAGCAAAATACCTGTTACCTAGAAATACAAGAGTATATAAGGAGAACTATGAAATTGATCGGCTACTATGAGTAGTGTAGAGTTTCCTGATTGCAAGTGTTTTGACAAAATAAAGCCTACAGGAGACTATCTGGTGGGCAACTCCCTTCCTATTTACTGTAATCATACTATTTTGTCTGAGCATTCTTGTTTTGTTCTGTGTAAACCCAAACAAGGTTAGAAAATTATTCTTACCTGATACGTTATTACCTTCGCCTCTTTTCATGCCAAGTATTTTATAAATTTCCCTTTGTGGATCTACATACATTTCGTGGGTATACCCAGTTAAACTGCAAAAGGGCTGCAAAATACATGCATACAAGAAAAGTAGTATTTTTAAGGTTAAGACAGTATTTAATTAGGATCTACTGACAGTGGAATACTGCCACTCCACCCCCAGCCAATTCGTAAACCTCTGGATTTGCCATGTTAAATTAAAGGCCAAAAATTTTTAGCCCTGGCGTTCTTATTAAAACAAAGCTTCCAGTGAAATCAAGAAAAGATGTTTCCTTACCAAGCCCCAGTGGTTTGTAAACGGAAAGTTTTAGTTATTTGCTTAATTAAGGTACCACTATTAGAATTGCTTCACAAAAAATACTACTGTCCTCTTTTCCTGTGGGTGCAAATGACCATCTTTTTACTCAGGGCGAAATCCCTCAATGCAGACCATTAAGACATAATAGAGGATACAATGTATTTAATGACTACTTTATTTACCTTGATGTGATGATAAGATGACTGTCCAATAACTATAAGCCTCACATTTGCTTCCTAGAACAGAACACAGGTATTGAGACTGTGTTTCTGCATGGCTGCAAAACATTAGCAGAATCTGGTGTCCTGAGTTAATGATCACAGTGCACTCAGTTAAAATTATTTGATATTAACATCACTTTAATGTCTGGAGTCTACACCTTTGTCTAGCAGCCACAGTTAGCAGCTATGTTAATTTATTTAGTGAAAAGTTATTTTTAAGGATAATTTTTAAGTTACAGATGTGTAAACTTTAATTTTTCTGTAGCACTAGTTGTATTATCTTTTCAGTTGATTGCAACCTGCTATGATTTTGGAAATTCAAAATTTCTACTCAGTTGTACCTGCATCTGAAGAAGCAGCACGCAAATACCGGTGCACGTACACCTGTGATTTACATATACTGATGCTCATTAATAGATATGACTTGCATCTACTTGTACTGCTGTCCTTTGCAGGTGCAACATTAGGCCTGAGTCTAAAGTAGAGGCCAAAACTTAAGCTCATTTAGATGCTAGTAAAACAGTTAATAAAATATAACAATGCTTTAATATTAGGGTATAGTACTTGACTTTCCCATATAGAATCATTTGGCTTGTTATGAAAAGAAGCCCTCCTAGGAACAGAATACTCACACTAAGAAAAGTATGGACGGTTTTGATTCCCTGTATACATTTATTTGAGCAGCCAGATTAAGAAAATATTGTTCTGAGTAGCACTGATTGAGCAGTTTAGAAAAAACTGCCCTGAGAAGGAAAGCCACCAAAGAAGTCACCCCTTTTCATCCCCAAGTTCCTAGTCCACCTAAGCCTTGATTGTCAGCAAGTAGCTGAGTATCTGTCATCAGCTATGCTGCTGTTGGGAATAAAATATGACAGAATTTCAATCAGCAGCCTAGAAGAGAGAGATTGACTTTCCACATTTAGCAGGGGATCATAGCCTTTCCTTCGTATCTCCTACCACCCAAAAATACTGGTCCATAGCAACCCCTGCCCACTCCATTTCTCCTTTCTGTCACTTTATCACCCCTATTTTTAATCTAGATCAATTTTCTGTTTTTGTTCCACGCACAACCATCAGTCAGCCGTACCAGTATAATGGAAAGGGCAGTAGTTAGTTAGTGGTCAGGAGAAGACAGCTGCCCAGGGCACTACTAATACCAACAGAAATACCTGTCAGATGATGTCTAACTGTTCAGAACACAGCAGCAAAAATCAGCACCAAGCTAATAGGGCAGGGAGAAATAATGCTGCTGCAAGAAAGCATGTAGTGCAACAAATCTTCTCCTGTGTCTCCTTGGGAGATACACCAGGGCTATTGTATTCAAACAATGAAAGCACTAACTTTCTTCTGAGCCTTTATTTTGATTCCTAGAAGGTTAAAGTCTCACGCAAGCCTGCAGCAGTACATAGCAAACCTGCTTGACGACAGCAACCCCATGTGCATATTAAGGGCAGAGTACTTACTTGCAAAAACGCCTTGGGGACTTTTGCCAGGTCTTCTACATACTCCTTACAGGTGTAACATAAAAAGTTCTGCAACACAGCCAGTTGGACTTGTCAGAAACAGACGTAATTGCACAGCAAACGAAGCATCAGATTCATACTTGGGGCACAAATCACTTTGGAGGTGATCAGGAACTGGGAACAGGAACAATTACAGTTCTTTGTAATCACCACGTTTTTATTAGGATCCCGGTTTAATCCAGGCCTGAACAAGGACCTTAGGCTTGGGGCCCTGCTTTTTCTCTCTGGCTATTTTAGGAACGTGAGAACTGGCTTCCCAGCTGCGAAACCAGGGTGCACAACGCTTGTTCCCTTGAACACAGGGCTGGAGAATTATTTCGTTTCTGGCAAATTCTGTGCCATTTTACCGAAGAATGGGCGTTCTTAGAAGGGAAGGGCTGTGTCAGATTTTCTTTTCTCGCTGCCCCGGCCCCGCCTGTGTAAACACCCCGCACACCCCGCCCCTCGCACAGCCAAGCCGGGCCTTCCCTCAAGGAGCCGTCTGACCGCCCCCGCCGGGGCCGCCGCTCCCTCCTTACCCGCACGAACACCACGATGGCTTTTTGCTGGCCGTACAGGGCCTCGAAGGGGACGCTCCTCCCGTCCGCGTCCACCACCGGGCAGCGGGAGGCCTCCCTCAGCTCCCTGG